GCGAGTCGATGTTAACCAATTCTTCAACTATTTGATCTGAAGGAGACAAAATTTGAATAATGAAAGTAAGATCAAAATCAAGGCGACTCAATTATTTACAAAAATAAAACTTACAATAACAACTTGTTGATTTTAAGATTCTGTACATCAGATAACAGTTTTAAATCAAAGAATTTTTTTAAAATCATTTCACCGCAAGCAAGGCAATAATGCCACTAAAAAGGGGTTACTGAGTGTTATAGAATATGAGAAAAATAATTATGATCTTTCATTAATAATTAAAGAACAGGAATTAAGACAGAAAATAATAATTCATACTGCAAAGAATAATATGACTAAGAAAAAAATAAATGTTTGATTAAAAAATACAAATATGCAGTCAATTTTGTTAACACTTTGAAATACATAAAAATTTTCTGAAAATAGATAAATATAAAAACATAACTAAAGACAATTTACACTATTTACATTGTTTGGACTGTTGTCTCTATTCACATATTCGTAACGTTTCGGATATTGCACAGCCCAGCCTTCTTCAGGTGATATACATTGGAATTTCGAACCAGACCCTTTATTTAGTCCACCGAAGCATATTGTTCTAATTCCATATGCTATGCCTTTCAGGAATTTGAGTTTTAGTTGATTGAGTGATTCTAAAAAGTGACTTGATCCAGAGAGTTGCGAGTGTAATACATGACCACAGCAAAGCAAACAAAAAACTGGGAGAATTGAGTTATTAAAGGGAATTAACTGAAGCTGTGATATCCAAAGGCATTGCATGTGAAATTAGAACTATCTCCACAGACTAAATAAAGGAATTGGTTCAAAATTCCAACGTATATCACTGGAAGAAGGCAGGAGAATACAACAGCAGAAATGTTATGAATATGACTGTTAACCAACGTGAAGTTGTCTCCCTTGTACCTTCTCCATGAGTGAGGTACGACTGAGGCAGAAACACTGGGGTAGACAATTGGTGATCACCATGAGGTATTAGAATGTCGCTGAATAAATTCTTTCTCTCCACACGTCTTGTTGGAGTCATTTATTTGAATTCACAATGACAATAAAGATGAGGACAACAGTCCAAACAATGTAAATGTAGAATAACAATAATAAAAAAAGCACTTACTTTCCAACTAGCGTCCCAGCTGGCAGACAAAAATAAAGCAGGTTGTAACTTAATACATATCCTGCAAACTGAGAAATCATGCTAGTATTTATATAGTAATACTTCCACTCAGGTACCAGAGCCAATAAAAGAATGGACTATCCCACTTTTTAGCATAATGAGATGCAACCATAAATAGCCAAATTAGTTCAATGAGTGGTTATCTTGAATACAGTAAATAGTATACAATACCTCATCTCAGAACTATAAACAAATAACTAAAGACTTATTTACATTATTTACATTTGGGCTGGTGTCTTTGTCATGGTTATCACATTTCGTTCATTGTGCCTTCTGGCTTTCATCAGGTGTATATTTATCTAATTAACTTACAGGGAATTCTGAACCGAACCCTTTATTTAATATCTACAGGTAAATTTGTATTGTTCTGTTCATCATGTCTAGGGATATCTTGTCTAATTCTTATTAAATACCAATCAGTTATTACTCACCCAGTTTCCACTGAATTCAAGTACACATACCAAGTTCTTCACTCAGAATTGTCCCACTGGACATTAGTGTCAAAGTGATGATTGATGAATCTGGTGATATAGTAATTGTTAATTTAATTCCTGCACTAGTCAATGCATACTTGAACTCATTGGAAACAGCGTGAACTATAACTGAGCAGTACTAAATAAGAACTAAACAATATATCAGATCCATTTTCCCTTCATATATGGTCAGCCATGCCTGATTTTTTATTTCTCCCTCATGTTACAGCTTTAAGGTGTTCCTGCAGTCTTACAGGAATACAGTCTCCCCAAAATTCACACAACAGTATTCTTATAAGACTGCAGGAACACCAAGGGAAAATAGAAAAATCAGGCAAGGCTGACCACATATGAAGGGAAAATGGAGATCACAGCTCTCTGTTGGATGACGTTGAAATAATAGAGAACATCATTGGAAAATACGAAAACTTAAGGAATCAGTGAATATGCTAAACCACAAAAATCTCCTTAGTTGACCAAGCATAGACAGGAATAAAATATGGGAACCAGTAATATAGAGAGATAGTGAAAAAGAACAATAACAACAAATTGTAATAGAAGCTCTGGTCAAAAATCGTTACAGAGACATTAGGTTAATGAGTCTCAAAAATTCATTCACGGAGACACATGGGCCAGTGGATCAAAGTGTTGGTTGAAGTAATTTAGTGACTTGACACCCAAAGAGTTGTGAGCTCAGATGTTAAAATCGCTTCTTTAACATTTGAAAGTGTTTCACACATAAGACACCAGTTTTTTTTCTTTTCATTTCAATAAAATAAAGAATGTATAGTTGATAATGTAACTCATGACATCAGAGTCTACTTTCTTCGTATTATCATATAAGTAAGTAGTTCGTTAAATATGACAGTCCAAACAATCATATTTATTTTACCTTTAGTCCAGTTTAGTGCATTACGGACAAGCTGGTACTTTTTGATAGTTCCATGTAATTCACGGGGCCTCCACCAGGACAGGTAGATACTCACTGGAGAAGTTTTTACAACTTGAAGTCTCACAGGTTCTGAGGGAGCTGCAATAAACAAAATAAAACCTATTTAATGTATTTGCAGGTTTTTAAAAATGTAATAAATATAATTTCAATTTTTTTATTTATTTTATAAATGCTTGTGTACAAAATACTGACAGAAAAACAATTTCATATACAGTGTAACCCGGATATAAGAGAGATTTTCTCTGGTCCCAAATTAGAGCCTGTTAATGCATATAAAATAGACCAAACCCGGATATAAGAGACTTCTTCTCTGGTCCCGACAACTCTCTTATATCCGGGTTACACTGTAATTAGCAAATGTATAGCTAGCCACTCATATTCAAGGATACCTTTCTACTAGGGCAGCTAGCCAGTCCCTATTGTAGATGCTTGCTTGGACACGTGTGTTTATTCAACATCCACAGAGCCCACCTGACTGTGGGGTTTTGAGGAGCGTGAAACCACCTTCTAACTGCTGTTGTTCCCAGGTCCAACATGCCTTGAGGTAGTGTCCCAGCTATTACCAATTACTTAATCCCTAAACTGTGGTCAAAACAATATGAAAGTATAAAAAATGAATTTTTATAGCAAATGCCATCAATCCATTTTTGAAAAAAAGAAAAATATTACTAGCAATGCATTTGACTCTCAACAAATCCCTCCTTAAAAAATAATTAATGAAACCTGACCTACAAACTGATTTCTTACAAAGAATACATATTATATTCATATGAACCTCACAAAAAAAATTTTCTATTTTGTTATAGATTTGTTTAAAATAAAATTTTATCCAGTCTAAAATATAAATATACTGGGACAAATATCAAGAAAACAATAAGAACTGGACATAAATATCAATGAAGTAAACACCCCAGAACCTATTTATCTATATAGTTCAGTTATTTGCACAATTCTCATCAAGTTATCATTGCTACCCAACCAAGTTTATTTTTGAACGCTTGAATTAATTTGCTTTTATTATTCTTTGCACTCATTGGGGTTTAATGTGAGTTTAAATTTCACCACTGAACAATGTTACAAAATGTTGCTTCATATTTCAGCAGGTTGTATCAATATTTTTTTTTTTTTTTTTGAGGGTTTTGTTTCATTCCTGGGATTTCTACTTCATCCAAATGTTTTGTAGAACTGTTCCAAGTATGTCAGTTATGATGGAAGTGACTCTCATTTTCATTAGTTTTCTGACAAAATTGAGATATTTGTCCAGATTTTCAATTTTAATTTGTGCTCTGCTGGAACTTAGAAATGTTCTTTTTATTATAACACCTACTCCACTTTCATGGTCTGTGTAAATGTCAAAGATCCAGAGAATTTAAGGAAATATTTCAGGATCATTTAAACAGAAATAAATGGGATTTTATATAATTTTGTGCAGTCCTGTTTGTATATTGGCATTTTAACCACACATCAAAAATTAAAATTCATAAAAATTAAAATTGATGTGATTGAACTGAAAATTATTATATAGTAGTGATAGAGAAATAAATAAATAATAATAAGGCCAAAATTTCTCCATCTCTAAAAATAGATGTACATTTAAAATCACCAGGCAACAAAGCCATAGTTCAACCAACCAATCAGAAAGCTTTCATAACCAGGATATAAGGTTTCAAGCCAATAATAAATGAAGCAGTCTTTTTGAAGTGGATCTCTAGATGTGTATATAAACAGATAGAAAATCAACCAAAATCAGAACTGATTAATAAATTTTGTCCATTCTCTGATGCTGCACTCATCTTAAAATAGCCATATCTAAAATGTGACATTTTCATGACTACCTGGCAATTTGAGATGGCTAAATCATCCTGATACATTGAAAACATAGACCCTTTCCTTCACCACCAATTTGTATTATTATATTGCATTAAATAAAGATTTATTTTGTATTTATCAGCACTCTGTACATATTCTTTTAATCATTACACAAGACCAATATTCACCCAAATCAATTATATGAACATATGGTGGGGACGAATGTTGTCATAACATCCACAAATCCTCCGTATGTGGTGATCCCAATGTGAACTGTATTAAATCTCCTATGGCAGGATTAGGTTACTTTATTATATTTGTGTATGATATTAATTATGTCTTTGTTGTTTAGGAAATTTAATTCATTTGTTTTTGTGTAAAAAAACAAACAAACCACAAAACAATAAGCTAGTGATAATTAGTTTTGATAGAATAGGTAAAAAAAAGTTAAAACAAAATAAAAATGGTTCACTATTGTTTTTCTTGATGTGGGTGATAAATTACTTGTGCTTTCTAAGTGCGTCGAGTTAAAAGGTAGTTGTGTCTGGAGTATATCTGCATTTAAATTCAGACTGTACAAATATGAAGAGGTAGATGCTGGAAAGACTTCAGGTAGACCCACTTCCAGAAATATCACCAATATATATATTTTTCTTTGTGTCTTTTGAAATAGCAATATTTAATTTTTTTTTCTTTTAAATCAAATTAAAAACTTTTTTGCACTTACATATATTTCACGGAGTTTCATAAAAAGGAATAGCTTGCCACTCTCCCACTTCTCTTTCAAAGTGAATCTTTGATAGCTGATGAAAAATTAGTATTTCTTAATGAATTTAGATTTTAGATCTACTAATTTGTCCGGAATAAAAGAACATTTAGAAAATAAAACCGAACACATAATCAAAAGTGAATTCAAGGGACGTCAATCTGATAAAGTCTATAGAGTGATTTCCCTTAGATTCTTTTCCTATATTCCGATGGCAAGGATTATTGGATTTCATTATGGGGCATATTTGCACCTAAATTTGTCTTGCAAAGAAAAACATTTTTAATTAGATACTTCCAAAGAAAAGCGACATCTCAGGTTTTGAAATTCATTTATAGAAACTTTTATTTTAGTTTTAATTTTAAGTTAATAGATTAAATTTATTATTTTCAATAAGCAAAATACTTTGCTGTATTTCAAAACAATTTAAATTCAGTGGAATGAGTTTACTTTTTGAAATCGTTAAAATGACTAATTTTAGCAATATTTACAATTCTCTTAGCACAACATAATTCTTTTTATGAATTTTTTTTTCAAAAATAAAATATACTTTTCTGAAACTTTGAGGCAGTTTTAAGGTTGCCAGATTAGAAAAACGGGACACTCTTAAAATCTCTCTCCCTCTATATATATATATATATATATATATATATATATATATATATATATATATATACCCAGACTAATATATGAAAGGAGAGACAAAAGTTAAAAACACAAAGCAATGATTTTAATGAGTTATAAGGAAGATAAAAGTAAAATCATTTCAAAATTATTTAATACAAGGTAAGAAGTTCGGTAAAAGTGAAATCATTTGAAAAATATTTATTTAGTACAGACAAAAGAGAAATAAACACGTCAGTTTAGTGTAAACTTCTAGCAACACTAATTACATTTGGGTTATTTTTATCAAGAGAATCTAAGAAAAGAAAGTATATAATTACTTATAAAGTTACAACCAAGAACCATAAGAAGATAATAAATGTTTTTATTATGAAATTAGAAAATGAACTAAATAAAGGGTTAGTACAGGACAGGGGACAAATTTATCCTATATGGGACATGACCAGTATATATGTCCCTTATATACTGGTCATGTCTGGAAACCCTAGGAAGATTAGCTGATTTTAAAGTTTAATTAATCTGGTTTGAAACAAATATTAGTTACTTTTAGTTTAAAATATCACAGAAAAACATTTTTTTAACAAGGAGAAAGGTGTTTTTATGAGGTGTTGACATCAATCTTGATAGACTTATGTTTAGAATTTTTCTACATGGTAGTACATCTCAGCAAATATTACATGACGAATATAATGTGAGTGCCTTTTTTACATAATTTTTTAACTACACATTATTGCAGCATGTGACACTTCTCTCTTTGTCTACTTTTGAATGTATGCAAACCATATATCCCTTCTGTGAGCTACAAACTCTCTTACATTTTTGTCTTAAACATTTTTTAATATTATTTTGTGTCAGATCATTTAATCTGTTGTATGAACATTTCCTCTTCATGACAATATGTTGAAACTATGGACTTTAGGAATTCTGATTTATTTTCCTGAAACAAGCTACTGACAATGCTTCAAGCATTTAAATTCATGAATAAATTCCTTATCTTGTTTTGTTAAAATTACCCATGTGCTTCCTCGTCATTATCATCTTTCATTAATCATCTTTGCATGGGTAAAACAACTGAACATTTTAACCCCTAAGCCCCATGTCACTATATATATATATATATATACTCTTTTCCAAGGGCTCTCTTACATTTGCCTTAAACATTTTTAAAAAATTATTTAGTGTAAAGTTACAGATTTTAAGAATTCTAATTTATTTTCCTGAAACAAGCTATTGACACTTTTTCAGGTGTGTAAATTCCTTATCTTGTTTTGTTAAACTTATCTCTGTGTGTCCTTGTCATTATTATCCTTCATTACTCTCCTTGGCATGGGTACATCAAATGTTCATTTTAACCCCTAAACGCCATGCTACAATAACGCTATTTTTACAAGAGTCAGATCAGATCAAAGAAGTATTGCTGTTATATCAAAAGCATCTACATGGACTTGTGGGTGATGAATTATATTCCATCTTAGAATCCCTTTCCCACAGACAAAATGCTCTGATGAGCTACATTCCTTTGTCCCATCACCTCTGACCTATACAGTTGAAACCTGCCATGTACACAAAAAAGGAATCATCCTCATTCCCTTCATATTTCATTAGTAAGAATAAGTTCCATTTGGGCAGCTTCTTTCCAAGAACTACTGCTTGATGTTTTCCCAATCACTACAATCCTGAACTCTTCAAATATAGGGTTAACCATTATCTTTACTGTATAACCCCATGAACTTCACTTATTGCCTTTTCTTATGCTTATACTACACAAAATAGTAACCCTCTACCTTGAGTGGCTCTTCAACCTTGTATTGGGTGAACATTGGTTTTAAAACAATGTTTTACAGCTAGAGATTGAATTGAATTTATTTATAAGTATGGTGGCCCATAATAAAGTATATGAGTTTTTGGCGAAAATGATTATTATAATATTTGATTTGATTTGTTTAATTGCATATCAACTCCTTATTGCTCATTTAATGTTGAAATTTAATTTTCTTGGAAGCTTTGATTGATTGATTGATTGATTTTGTTTAACAACCCCTCAAACTCCTGTGGGTCATTTAGAGCCATTTTGATTGTGTTGCAATTGTCAAGCATAGATGAGAACAAATTTACAGCTCTTTGGATATGGTTGAAAGAAAATTTTACATTTTGTTAGGTATGTTTGAAGGAAAATCCCTTCGAAGTATGGTAGAAAAGAAGTTTGTTTAAAGAAATAAAACTTTCACTCTGGAATATTCAGGAAGTAAACTATTGAATATTAAAAATAAGAAAATCTCATAACTTACACACACGTTATTATAGAAGCAATCATAAAAAGAGTTTTTACGACTGAAAAATATTTCATTGGTTTTCATGCAGATTGGAGAAATAAACCTATTATTTTAGTTTAATCTAAAAACCTAAATCCTTATTGAAATAACCAACTTCTAAGTTATATTTTTTAAATTGTGTAGTCCTCATCATCTTTATCTTCTGTAAAATAAATCATTTTATAATTATTATTCAGAAAAATTAAGATTTGTTCCTTAAATTGTATTGTCCTGATAAACAACATCTGACAGCAAAACACCTGATCAGGAGATTGGAGGTTTATAAGACAGTATAAAAGTATAAAAATACATTTTTATACATTTTTATAATAAAAATACCAGCAATACATTTTTATATATAAAAAAAATTACCAACAATACCTATTTATAGTAAAATAACCAACAATACATTTTATCTGTAGTTGAAGGCATACAATTGCATTCAGAATGTATTTATTTCAAGCCATAAAATTGTGTTCAAAATAATTAGATTTCAGCATTAACTAATTCATAGAGGTTGATATGCTGCTAAACAAAATCAACCAATTCTTAAGAAAACAAACTGTATTCTAAAATATAACTTTAATAAAACTACAACATAAAACACACATATCACCGACTCTAGTAATTATGTCCACACAAGCATGTATATTCACAAAAGCTGAGTATCATCTACCATGTATTCAATTGTGAAAGCAGAATAAAATATATTTTTATTACTTCAAAGTACCCAAAATTAAATTTCAGCATTATAAGACTCATAAAGGAGTTGATATGCCATTAAACAATCAAATCAAGCAATCCTTAAACTGTACAGTACATTGCAATTGCTTAAATTCATGTATATATGTCCTTCTATACAATATTAACTTGTAATACAAAAATCTTAAGACCAGATACAAAAGTGTTAAAAAATATCATAAAATACTGTTACTTTAATCAAAATATATTTGCGAAACATTTACATTTTATTAGAAAATGTAGTTTATCAACAAACAAGTGAAAATTTTAAGCTTGAAATTTTCATGTGTTTGCTGATAAACTACATTCTTTAATTAAATGTAAATGTTCTGCAAATATATTTCAATTAAAGTAACAGGATATTTTTCTTTTCAACCCTTTTGTATTTGGTCTTAAGATTTTGACCAGGTGTGTATATTGATTAACTTTTCTACAAATTCTGTAAAAAGTTCTGTTGAAAGTAATGTGAGAGAGATACATTTATTTTTTCTTATAAGAAAATTAACAGCTGTGTAATGTTTTTTTAAAATTTGTTGCCAAGAATATTTCATCAATTCCATAAAAACCAAAATGCTATAGTGGTAGACTTTTTGAAAGAATAAAAACTTGTAAAAATTCAAGGAATAAACACAGACATATTGAAAAGATACTAAAAAAAAAAAAGAAAGAAAAAGAGTAACAAAAAAACATATTACCATAAACTGGTAATACCAAAATATAATAAATATTCAGCATTACCAATTTACAGTAATATAAACATTTTTGTTATCCTTGTTTTTTTTTTTATGAATTATGGAAAAAATGTGGATAATGAAAATTTCTCATGTCAAACTTTGAAAAAAAAAACAAAAAAAACACCCCCCCAAAAAAAAAAACTGACGTGTAATTGCTATTAAAGTCTAAAAGGAAAGAGTTTCATTTTTGTTGTTTCCCATAGATTATATACGTGATAAAAAGAACTTTACCTTATGTAAACAATTACATACCTGCCTGCCAGGTGGTGACACTCTGCATCTCACTGGGGCTGCCTTCCCCAACACGGTTCTTGGCAGTAACTGTGAACACATATGTTTGAGCAGGGTTCAAACCATTCACTTGCAAATGGGTTGTTGAACTTGTAATGTTACCCATATACAGAGTAAAGTGAGGCTTATATTCACTTCTGTAAGAAAATGAAAATCAGTTAAATTTTTGGATGAAGTAAAAATTTTAAAAAAATTTAAGGGCATCATTTTAAGTTAAGAGAAGAAAAGAAATTTAAAATAATATTTTTAAGACATTTTTATGTTTATACATTCTTTTTATAGATACAAATGTGGAACTGGGTGAAAGAAGAAAGGTGTGTGCAGCCCTTTGCATTAGTGAGCCAGATTTCGACATCTCTTTCAATTCTGGCGAAAGGGTGTGGACCGCCAGGTGGAAATGAGCCCAAAAAAGACCCACCAGTTCAGCCTCACAACAAGGTCACAGAATACAAAGTTTCTGACAGCATCAGAGGAAAATACGAGAAAGAGCTTCAACAGTGGATTGTGAACGGCTGGTTGATTACGTACCTCCAGGAAAGACTGGGACCCCCAAAGGGTCTGATTCCCTTGATGGCAGTCGTGCAGGAGCAGGAACAGAAAGTGTGTCCGGTACTCGATTACCGCGAATTGAATGACTTTGTGGATGCTTTTACTGCCGATGCAGAAGTGTGTGCACATAAGTTGAGAATGTGGCGGCGGCAGGGGGTCAATGTATCGCTTCTGTATCTGCGGAACGCATATCTTCAGATTCACATTGACGAAGCGCTGTGGCCATTTCAAACAGTTATTTTCAAAGGCCAATGCTTCTGTCTTACGCTAGGATTTGGGCTAAATGTAGTGCCACTCATTATGAAATCCGTTATAGATGCCATCGCATCACAAGACCGCACAATTGAAAGTGCCACATCAGCATACGTTGATGATATTTTCATTAATGAAAGTTTGGCCTCTGCATCGTGTGTAAGACAACACTTTTGGATTATGGTTTGGTGTGCAAGGATCCGGTGCGACTGAGAGATGGAGCAAGAGTTCTTGGCTTGCAAGTCTGGGAAGAAAATGGCACCCTCCGATGGAAACGAGGAAGTCAAATTCGGAAGTCCCTGATATGTTGACCGGGCGGCGCGTATTTTCATTGTGGGGAAACTTGTTGAACATTTCCCCGTGTGGATGGCTCAGGGTGGCAGTTGCATTCGTCAAGTGCCTGGCAACCGCGGCAACCAATGGATGGGATGATAACATCAAAGATCCCTCTCTCTGTCGCATACTAGTGGAGATGTTAAGTAGAGTGTGGAAACTGGATCCCATTGGAGGAGACTGGTGCATGAGTGGTGACGAGATCACAGTCTGGGTGGATGCGAGTTCCGTGGCGACAGGAGTGGCATTGGAAGCGAACAGAAATGTCATCGAAGATGCGTGTTGGCTGCGTCCGACTAATGATACCAGGCATATTAATTTAGCTGAACTAGATGCGGTGCTTAAAGGAGTGAATCTAGCTCTCCAGTGGGAGGTGACAACATTGCACTTGGTTACTGATTTGGCGTGTGTGCACTGGTGGATTTCCGACACCTTGACCGGGAAGGCACAGGTGAACACAAGGACGGCTGGCTAGATGCTGGTTAGGCGACGGCTGGGCATTTTGCGATTGCTGGTGGAAGAATATGGATTGACCATAGACGTGACACTCGTACAGTCCTGTCAGAACCGTGCGGATTGCTTCAACACAGTACCGCACAGGTGGCTAGATCTGCTCAAGAGAGGAGAACTGGCGCTTGAGAGCTGTGCAGTGGCAGGGAGACGATTGGACGAGGACCAGGTGGCCAATACCCATCGTCAAAGCAGACATCCGGGCATGAAACTAACTCTGTACTTCACCAGGTTAGTCAACCCGCAAGTGTTCAGACAAAGCGTTAAATCCGTTGTGAAGGCCTGCATAACCTCTCAGTCGATCGATCCGCACCTGTCCACTGGGAAAGAGGAGAACTGAGCGTGAAGAGCAACTGGAGCAGACTAATGATGGACATAACTCACTACAATGGTGAGAATCTTTTACGCTTATTGATTGCGGTCCCTCCAGGTTTGCGGTATGACACAAGGTGCGAAAGCAGCACCGCTATTCGACTGTTGGAGAATGTTTTCCTGGAGCAAGGCCCACCCATGGAAATACAGACGGACAACGATACTGCATTCACCAGTAAAGACTTTAAAGAATTTGCAGACAATTGGGACGTGCATCTGCAGTTTCGATGTGCCTACTCACCAAGTGGAAACGGCATCGTGGAGCGGAAACCACAGAACCATCAAGACCATTGCAGCCAGGAAGGGCTGTACAGTACGGAGGTGGTTTACTTATATATTGTCTCCCCGAAGATAACGTTTCACCATCCATGGCGACGGATGATGCACTGCACAAATATCATGTCCGGTGAAAGGCATCGAAGCCAATCCGCTGCCTGAACTAGAAGTGACTGGAGGAGATTGAAAAAGGAGATGTTGTTTGGGTCAAAAACCCACGCGGCAAGTGTACGACAAAAATACGGCATTGGACGTGTTACGGAGGTGATCAGTCCGCAATCTGTGAGAGTTGATGGGGTGCCTCGTCACATTAAAGACTTGCGACCGGTGATGCAATCACTACCGTTACTGAGCGATGAAAGCGATTTCGCGTCTGAGAGTAGTGAGCGTTCAATCTGCTTTTGAGTTAGACCTGCAGGGCAGTGATTCTGATAACAGCAGCCTCCGGGCGGACACAGTGTTTACCGACACTCAAACCACAGGATGAGAACACGCAAGAGGATGAAGCTTGTGTTGTCCCCTTCGGAGGGGGACTCGATGGTGACAATCGCCACCTCCTTGCCCTGTTTGTGATCATGAGATCAGGGGGAGTGTGGGGAAATTGTGAAAATGGCTTACCTCGGAGACGTCTGCAAATCTGTGCGGTGTGCAAACTCCAGTTTTCTAGTGGTAAAAGGAACCAAAATGGCGGCGCCCATATTTTATGCTGGGCGGTCTCGTTAGTTAACGCGAAATCTTGTTGTCTCGTCATTTGCATGCAAATTGTGGTCGGTCCTCGGCTGTATAAAGCAGGCACATTTTTGCTGTTTCAGATCAGAGGGCTTTTGGCTTGTGATAAGGTTGGACGTGTGACACCGGGTTTTCAGTTACCCTCCTCACGGTTTTTTTTTTTTTGTTCCTACCTGCTATTATCAGTTGAGTTGTTGTGTTACCCCACACATCAAGTCAATTTAGACCAATTTGTAAATATTTAGGTCAAAAGGTTTTAAGTTTTGAATGTATAACAGAAATATTAAAAAAGCTATAAATAAAGGCTAGTATATTTTCTGTCATGTAATATGCACTATATTTCTATTTGGTGTCATTTTAAGAGCGGGTCTGACAAACACATGGTTGTGAGTATCAATATTTTCCACCACTGTTGGCCTAACTAAACTGTACGGACATTGTATTGGTGTGGCTTTTTTGGTGGGAAGGGACAAATTGTAAATAATTTCCAATTTGAGGAGAAATTTGCTAATCAGTTTAAAAAAAAATTGAAGATAATTTTCATTAATGACAAAGGTCTCAAAACTTAGCCTGAAGCTACATACTCCTCACCCTCATAAGATTTTATCTACTGCAGTCATTTGCTAATATTTGACATTTTTTACTCCCTATATAGGGTGGCCCCCACAAAAAAAATATATATTTTTTTTTTTTTTTGACACTGTATATTTCCAGAGAAATGATTTGTTTATGGATATACACCAGCCAATCATACCACATAATAGTAAGACATTAGGTCAATGAATATTCAGTAGGCACTAATGCCTTGCTATTATATATGAAATTATTTCTACCACACCATGTAATGAACACTGAAAAGAAATCTAGGCCCACTTTTTGACTAAACAGAATTTTTTAAGGTGGAAGAAAACTCTTCTTGATCAGCCTGAGAACTTTTATATAGTGTAAATGAAATTTTCTTCTTTGTAAAATATCATATTTCTTGATTTGGAATCTTAGTGATTAATAAGATCTAAAATAAAACCTATTGGTTTCCATTAGATTTTATTAATTTATAAATGATTCTTTTTCCAATTGCTAATTATGAAAAAAAAAAAAAAAAAAAAAATCTGTCTACTGAAAAATTTTGTAGACAGTTAATTAATGACATAGATATGTTTTAGAGTTGGTTTTGAATTTAAACACCACTTTAAAAGATAGTCTGAACATATTTTTAACATTTTTTTCAAAGTATACATTATCATGAATGACCATGTTTTTGTCAGATTCAGTTAGTCAAGTGCCATGCATGATTCACATTTGGGTGATCATGTCTTTTCATTCATGATTGACAAGACAAATTTCAGAACAGGCTGTTAAAAAGCTGTAATAGACTGATTGCCAATCAAGGCTATAGGAACCATTCTCTCCTGCTGTTTATGCCATAGGTAGTGGTTTGAAGAAATGTATCCATACCTTTCCCAGGGTATTTATAAATAAGTGAATGTAATAAATCTGACTGGAATTTGGACTCAGCCCAGCCCATTCCACCATGCTGCATGTCCTTTTTCAGATTATTTATAGCAATTGATTTTTTTTTTTTTTTTATAATGGTCTTGTAAGATATTTTCTTTTTTTTATTCTCTATAATTTTATTAGTAATTACAAACCTGAAAATCTTCATTGAAACTTGTATGAAATTTTTTGAATATTTATAGAAAATATTTTTTTATATTCATGTGAGGTGCTGAAGAAATGTTTTTAAATTCTGAAGGAAAGAAATTTTATAGATTTTATTTCTCCTTTTTTAAGGGATTTTGCTAAACATAGAACATCCCCACCCTTTATATTCTTTATCTTATCCCTACTATCTGATACATTACCATATTTATTTATATGCAAAATATTATTATTAGTATTATTAATTTAATTTATTGCAGATATCCTTGTCCATTATTATTAAAATTTGTATTTTTAACAATGTATATATATATATATATATATATATATATATATATATATATATATATATATATATATATATATATAAAAATGTGTGATCTATTTCCTCATAAGAAAACATTTGTTGTTGACCAAGCATCCAGT